TCTTTTTTTTATTTTGCTGCAGTGCTGTTATTTTTCCCTATCATAGCCAGAGCCCTGTCACTAACAAACCAAACAATTTTTCTGTAAAGGAGCTTAAATTTGTTTAAAAGGGTTACCGATTGAGAAAAAATCTGTGAGCAGCTGTTTTTCCTTTCACAGGGACCAGCTCTAAAAGTTACGCTAATTGAAGGTCATCGTTGACATCTCGAATAAAAGCAGGAAGCTGTGCAATATATGTAACATCTGTACTCTCATCATTAGCAATTGTCTATGTCACAAAGTCTTTACACTTTCCTTTAGGCTGACACTGTATATCTTCTGCGAAGTTAGTCACATGATCACCCACTGGGTCTGCAGAAAAAGCCACTTATTTCAGGATAAATTATTTATGCTGCCTTCATTATGCATTACTTCACATGTTGACCTTCAATAAATGGATTTTATTTCTTTGCAGTAATTTGTAAAATAGTGAAACTTCAATGACTACTGCTTCATTTGATTTAATAGCAACAAAAAATATATTCTGCTGTCATTGCAAAATCAGATTTAAGATTCCGTATTATTTTTTTCTGTTACTGACACTTCTAAAACACCAGAATTATCTTCGTGTAAAATTTTTTAATGATGGTGCAAGTTGTGTACTTTTGGCACCAACACCCCTTTATTGCAAATGAGATAGTTTTATCACACACTACACGAAAAAGTTAATATTTTGTCATTTTTCGTGAAATACACAACCTCATCTTCACATTTCTTCTTTGTTTTTGACACTGATATCACAAAATAGAAACATACCATGCACAGAGATTGCTAAGTCCCTTCTGCAGCCAAATTTAGTTGGAGAAGAGAAAAGATCTGACACAGCTGCTTGCAGAGGTTACATCACCAGAATACCACCTAGACTTTAAAAACATAGTCTACAACNGATAATTAATTGTAGCCGTTATTTGTAGATTGTTCAATAAACCAGTTAACGATCTCTACAGCGTCTTCGGTAACGAAAACACGTTACAATATGAACCGTTTTTACTTGAAATTTGCAAGAAGTCAGTTATTTTTACTTAAATTTATGGCCAGCAGCAAACCTGAAGTTCCTGGGGTGAAATAACACCTTACCACAGCTTTTTAAATATTGTTTCTTGCTTGTATATAATCATTTTTTGGTGATAATACTATCAGTGAACAAGGAACATGTTAAAGATCACTTCAGCTTGTTGTCTTTCAGGATATAAACCCCGGTAAATGTCCATAGTCTTGATGACAGTTACCAGCAGAGCATGAGGTTTGAGGTGCTCTGTCCTTTGTATGACCACATAAGGACCACTTTAGCTTACTGTCCTACAGGAGGAAATCCCCAAGAAATGTCCCAACTCCTTGGTAGTTGTTAACTGCCTGCAAGTGCAGGGGTTGAAAGACTTTGTTCTTTGTGTTACCTGATAACAGTATAACAGCTACGGATAACCTAGATGACAGGTGGTAAACCTTCTTTGGCCTTTTCGGCTCATGACTAAAGAACATCGTAAAATTCTATAAGTAGAATACTGTCAATGTAAAGGCCACATGAAATGAAATGTTTGACCACTTGTTTGAGACCCCTGGCATAGATGTGATCACATTGTATAGAGTCAGTGATAATTAGTCTTTATATATTCCATTAAATATGTATTGTATCAAAATATGTTTAAAGTAAAAGTTGTATGGCTTGAAGAGATTTGTATTTTATATTGTGCTCGGATTTTCAACACGATAAGCTGCTTTTAAGAAAATCAGTGAAGTACAGCATGTTCTTTATGTTAAGCAAGGTTTGTATGAGAACAATGGGAATAAAAATTAAATTTATTCACCAACTTTCAGCATCCTTCTGATTGCTGGGATCCCAGACATTGTCCATCATAGTATTCCAGAAGAACACAATGTGTCAGAAACTGGATCATCGTACGTCTTTAGGTTAAAAGGTGGGAAGCCACCTGCTCAGTTTATTCCATTAGAGAGAGCTAATGTCAGTCTTTGACATAGTGATTGAGATTAGTTCTTTTTAACACATCCAACTGAGTAAGTGCCTCCCTGCCATTTCACCCGAGGATGGATACAAATCTAGTTTCTTAAACAAATAACTTCCATTGTCAGTCCTGAATTTTGAGTTTATCAAATTCCATAGGGTAGCTTTAGAGATGAAACATGTGAAAGGATGGACAGACACAGCTGTTCCATGATGCATTCGCTTTATGCACTTTGTACAAAGAATTCGTAAAACTATGCAGATAAAAATATGTACGACTTTAATCTTATCTGTGTTTCACAAGTGTGAAACTTTGTCTCACCCTGAGAAAAAAGCATTGATGAGACTGTTACAGAATAAAGTAATTAGATATATTTGGACCTGAGAGGGAGATGAATTGGA